AATACACTTTTTTAAAAAAGATTTTTTTATTTTTTTTAAGTAACCCTACACCCAACATGGGGCTTGAGCTCATGACCCCGAGATCAAGAGTCACACACTCTTCCAACTGAGCCAGCCAGGCGCCCCCACAGATACACTCTTGAGGAACATATTTGGGATTGTTTTTCATTTTAGCACGTTTTTTAAATTTAGTGTTTAGACGTGTAATAATCACATGTTGCATTCTTTCCACGTCTAACTCTTTTTTTTTTGTTTTGTTTTGTTTTTTGTTTTTTGTTTTTTCCACGTCTAACTCTTTTTGTAGACTTCATTTTCAGTGACTGCCTCCTGGTCTGCCAGGTGAGTGGCAGGACAGCCTAGCGGTTCGGAGTATGGGCTCGGGAGCGAGGTGGCCCGCGTTCGCATCCCGCCCATCTCTCTTGGGCTGCTATGGCCTGTGTCCTCTCCAGAATCTGATGTCGGAGTCCTAAGCCCCAGTACCTCAGAATATGACTGTGTTTAAAGATAGGACCTTTAAGGAGATAATGAATGTAAAATGAGGTCACTGGGGTAGCCCCTAATCCAATACGACTGGTGTCCTTGTAAGAAGAGGTGTTTAGGACATAGACACACACAGAGGGAAGAACGTGTGAGGACACAGCGGGAAGACCACCATGTACAGATCTTCCTCGACTCAACATGGAGGTGCATCCTGACAATAAATGGAATATACTGCAAGTTGAGGATGATATTAAACACATCTAACCTACCAAACCTCATGGCTTAGCCTGGCCCCCTTGAACGTGCTCCCAACACTTACGAGCCTACAGCTCGTTGAAATCATCTAACACAAAGCCTGTTTTACAATGAAGGGTTGCATATCTCACATCGTTTATGGAATACCGTACTGGAAGTGGAAACAGAACGGCTGTATGGGAGTAGGATGGTTGTCAGCATGAGCTGTTTGCGCCCGTGATCACGGGGCAGCATCACCAGAGAGGATCTGACCGCTTATCGCTGGCACGGGAAAAGATCCAAATTCGACATTCGAAGTACGGTTTGTACTGAATGTGCGTCGTTTTTGCAGCAGTATAAAGTCAAAAAATCGTAAGTTGAACCCTCCTCAGTTGGGGGCCATCTAAATAAGCCAAGGAGAGAGGCCTCAGAAGAAACCCACCCTGCCAACACCTTCATTTTAGACTCCCAGCCTCCAGAAAGGCGAGGAAAGAACTTTCTGTTGAGTCCCGCAGTCTGTGTTACTTCTTTCGGCAGCCCCCGCAGATGGATACGCTACCCACGGGGGCAAAGCACCGAACCTCTGAGGCCTAGTTTCTTCTCTTTGCAATCAGGTCTCATAGGGTCTCAGGATTTAACAAGAGAATGCTCTGTGCGCGGCCTGGCGCTGGGCTGGATGGAAGGTGCTCTCTCGGCGGGGTTGGTACCCCCCTGGTTCATTTCGCCAGCCCTCTGTCCCTGCACATTGGGTGGTTTCTGTTTATTCACTGGGCAGGTATTTACTGGACCCCGGTCGTGGCCATTTGCCCCGTGACAAATAAGGATGTGGCCTGCGGTCAGCAGCGGGGTACGCTGCCTTTGGCCACTTTCTGGGAAGGGATTTTTAGGAGCATTCTCTATCCTCCAAGCCGTTTTCACTGAGCACCCCCCATGGGGGGCCCTGGGATGGGAGCACCCTGTTGCCATACGCTCTGAGGCCAGTGCCCAGGAGCCCCTTTGCTGGTGACAGCGATGAGCTATTTAGGCAGCTCGCAGCCCCGGAAAGTCACTTTCCTTTTTCCTTTTCCCATAGGGGTCTGATGGCTGCGCCCACCACCTGGTGACTGCACAGCTCCAAGGGGCAGGCGAAGGCCCCTGGCGGAGGGACCTCTAGCCCGAAAGCCTTCATGGGCATTTCACACCTGCCCATGGCAGGGAGTGGCCCTTACGCTCCTGTTAAATAGTTGGCAGACCCGTCCCCTCGAGCTGGCTGGCACCGCGGAGTGCCGAGAGCCTGCGGCCTCTGGGGATCTCCCGAAGGCCGAGTCCTGCCCGCCGCCCAGCCCAAGCAACCCCCTGCCCTCTGTCCCCCGCCTCCTCCGTCCCGGGGTGCCTTTTTCTTCTCTTCTTTGAAGTGTGAGCCTTCGAGCTGCGGCAGGCAAACAGGATGTCCCACTCCCACACGCAGAGACTTCAGACGAGACACTTGGGTCGAACCGCATCCTGCTGGCAGTGGTGGGTCCCATCTGCCGCGGACCTGGCGTGGGAGAGGGTGCAGGGCTGAGAGCAAGGAGGGGTCCTCACGAGGTGGCTTTTGTGAGTCACTCGGAGCCTCGCTCCAGCCTCCCAGCTAGGTGCGCACGTCAAAGTGCCCTCTGGGAGCTCTGTGCCTGGAAAAGCTGAATAATGCAGGTGGTGAGGGAGCCCTTGGCTCTGATTTTTGTGTTTTCTGGGAGGGTTTGTTGTTGTTGTTGTTGTTGTTATTTTAAAATGAATCATTTCTCCAAACCTCAGCAAATCAGTCTAGGATTGCAAGATTGCTGCAAAAGAGGTGACGGCCAAGGAGAGGCACAAGGTGGGGACTTACGGAGGCGTGCTCTTCCTGAACAGCTGCAGATCTGAGGCAGGACTGGGGGGACACCCAGGGAAGGAAGGGCAGGCACTAGTGTAAGAGTTTAAGGAAAACACAAAGTCCTAAATCTTTCCCTGAGCAGTGGACTCTGGTGATAGCAGAATGACTTAGGCGCTTCTCTTTGTGGCTGAAGCCGTCTTGGGGGAAGGAAGGTACAAAGGCAGAAGGTTCCAGGTCTCCCATCCCCCTGGGAGATGTTTTGAGTCCTTAGACTCCATCAGACATTCGGTTTCAAAATAGTTTGCGTGTGTGTTGGGAGAGGTGGAATTTAAAAGGTGTCAGGGTTTTACCACCCACTTGATAACCCCTCCTGGCTGTGAGTGACATTCTAGACACCTCTGGAACTTTCCACTTGTTGAGCCCATCGTAGTGCAGGAAGCGAAGATACCAGGGTGCACGGTGTGGATTTTTCATCTGCAGAATGTCCTGAAAATTCAGGTGAAAGGTTTGAGAGAGAGACAAGGAGGAAGATTTCTCAAGAGACTGTACTCCACAACAGCTGGAAAATGCTTCTCTTTTCTCTACCGATTTTGTAGGGCAAGGGAGGAGGGTGGCAAAGGATCGGGTAGGAATGGGGGAGAGGGGATGCTGGGAATAGGGACCATGGCTAAGGAGAGGGGGCAATTCTCTGAGGACCTGCGGTGCACGAGGCAGCCCTATAATCCAGGAGACTTAGGCTCCATTAGGGGTCCTCCCCTCGTACCTGCAGAACATACCCGAGAGTCATTGCTTTCCCAGAGCCATGCTCCTGGGCTGAATGAGCGTGCAGGTGTCCACACGCTGCAGCCAACTGCTCCTTTAATTAGGGACTGTTCCCAGAGCCTCTCCTCGCTAACACGGTCGTTTCACTCCCCTGCCTGCATTAAAGAAGCCCCATTTTGTTTCTTGGCATAATAACAGGTTTATTTGAGATCTTGGATGCCGGACTTCTGGGGGGTTCTTAACAATACTGGCATCATCTGAGAGGACGGTGGCCTTTCCAATAACCACCCTCCCTACAGGAATGGTTTCTGTTCTGCCACCTCAAGTTTCTGGAGAAATACGTCCCTGTGTCATCTATTCAAATAAGTAGAGATTCTTAATGGACCTCTTGATACAAGGGTATGAATCAGTGCTGTGTGCATTTATACCTCCGAGGAAGGTAAAGGTAGCTTCGTTCGTGTGGCTATTATATTCCGTTGAGACGGTCTCATAATTACCAAAACCATCCAGGAAATCTTCCTTGCCCAGCACATGACTTACTTGCTTTGTGTGTTTTGCACGTAGTTGCCTTCTTGGGCGTGTGATAGGTATTTAATAAACATTTGATGGAATGACTCATGGTCTGATTAGCCTCAACTTTGAGACTCTTTTTTCCTTTTCTCCTTAGATCTTCAACCTCATGAAGTATGACAGCTACAGCCGCTTCTTGAAGTCTGACTTGTTTTTAAAACACAAGCGAACCGAGGAAGAGGAAGAAGATCCCCCTGATGCCCAAACTGCAGCTAAAAGGGCTTCGAGAATTTATAACACATGAGCCTCTGAAGAGCTGGCAGGACTGGCAGCTTTCAGAAGCGAAGAAACTCCCTCTCAGGACCACGCAGGGTTTATAATTGCTTTGTTATCTGTAAGGACTGAAATGTACAAAACCCTCCCGTGGGATATGTGTATTTTATTAACTGCTTGACCAGTGAGTTTTGCATGATGGCTAATCTTACATAAAAAAACAAATAGCTTTGAAGTTTTAGTTCACATACACACACACACACACACACAAGCACACATAAGCAGAAGAGTCCTTAAACACTGGATACTTTGAGCATTTTGTAACTTGATTAAATGTCCTCTGAGGCCACCAGGTGAAACTTAGAGCCACCTGTTACCTTTTAAGTCTTTGCCCGGCCTCTGGGGGAGGGGTCATGCATGTCCACAGATTCACTTGGCAAATGAGCTCGAGAATGAGTTGATCTGACAAACTCAGGCCCCTGGGAGTGTCGTCTGTCAGGCGCCTTTTGGTTAAATACTTGTCGAGAGTAAGTTCAGGGCTGGGAAAAGAAAAGTCATCACTGACAGCCTCTGCAGATTTGGGGAGCAGTGTATGAGCACCCTCGGAGTGTTCTTATTTCTTATGTGTGGGTTTGTCCTGGTTTTGCCTACAGTCCGTGACATGTCATGCAACACAGATAAATAGTTCATCTTGACAGAAACAAGATCTCAACCAGGAAGAAAGATAAATGCAAAATCACTCAGGGTCCCTGCGACAACGCAAGGTGGTGTTGAATGAATTGGCCCGTGCCGATGACGGAGTTGGGGGGATGTTCCGTTCTCCCATAGCCCGTCTGGGGACACATTGGAACCCTTTCTCCTCTGCCCTACCCTTTACTGGACTTGTTAACTCCAGGCTTGGCACTCCAACGAGGGGAAAGAAATGCTCTTTGAAAGTCTCGTCTTTGGTGGAGAGGCTGTGAGTGAAGCCCTGCTTGGCCAGGGCTGTGCCAGCCAGCCCAGGTTACCCGCGCCCCCCCCCCCCCCCGCCTCCCCTTTGCGAGCAGAGCCCAAGGTCAGGCACGGTTCCCTTCTGCTGCTTGCTCCCACCATCTGCTGCTGCCAGACCTCTCCAGCATGTTTGCCAAACCTTCAGCTCCTGTTTATACAAACAGAGCAACCAGACTGTTACTTGTGAGCTTTCCCACTCAGACTTTTCCATTTGCAAAATTCCCTGATGTTGAGGGGGACTGTGTAGTTTATTAATCACACCAGGATAGTTTTGAGAGAGAAGGGAACAGAGTTTAGTCATTACGGGATAACGGGCAGAGACGGGTTCTGTTCTGAGTGAGCCAGTTTGCGACGATGACCCTCCCCTCACGTGAAGCCCTCTGCTGTTCCCCTGATTCCCCAGCGTCATTGTCCACTTGCTGTGGTCGAAGGTTTCCTGTCCATCCATCTCGGGCCTGGGGAAGGGACGGCCTTCAGGGAGCCATTCACTGCTGAGAACCGAGTCATCCGACTGAGCGTTCATCAGAAACGGCAAATGTTTGATCCCCTTACAGGGGTTCCCTGCCTTCCCTAGGACATCCCAGACAGGCCTTCTCTCTGCCTGGGACGAGGTCTTGTCGCTGAGACGGACAAGCAAGGGACACGCCATCCTCTATTTGCAATTTGCAGTTTCCTAACCAGAAAAGTGCAGGGCTGCGCACCCACCGCACCGTTGTGGAGAGAGGGTAACGGGGTCACCAGCGAGCTGAGCAAGCGGCTCGGTGCTCCCTTTGGAGAGCCTTGTACGGGGCACTGCAGCTGGGCCGGGAACCCTCTTACTGGGCTCCGAGACCCTTTAGAGTGGTGGCCGCTTTATAAGCGCTTGAATAAAGGAAACAGAGCCAGCCAGGAGATGGTCTAGCAAAGGGAAGCCGGTCACGAAGGAGCTGCCTGGAAAGCTGGGCACCAGGGGGATGCGAGCCACGGACGTTTAATGCGCGCTCCCGCCACTTCCTCTGGCTTGCTCCCGCCTGGCTGCCCACCCTCCGCCAACTGCCAAGCTGAGGCCTGGACAGAACTCAGCTTCCTGAAGCTACTGCGGAAGCAAGCCGAAGTGTGGGGAATCCAGGCAGCCAGATAGACGCTTCCCCGAGCTTTCACCCTCACCCCCCCTGACCACCCCCGTCTGACCATCCAGGCACGTGTTGATTAGGATCTCAGTCGTGTCTGCAGGGGGCCAGCGACCAGGCTGGGTGCCAAGATTCCCGGGGGGCGGGGGGGCAGCCGCGAGGAGTCATGCACTCGTGGCATGCACAGGTGTTACCAAATGGAGGTTTTGTTCTCACTCAGGTGTGGGGAGGAGATCGGGAGATGATGACCATTGCAAAGGGAGTTTGTGACGGGTCCTGAGAGGAGGGGCAGGCCGTGCCATGCAGAGCTGCCTGGGGCTGGGGAGCAGAGGGAACAGCGGGAAGCTGTGGGCAAGGGCATCTGTTGTGGTTTCCTTGGGAAAGGCCAAGCAAGGTAAGCAGGCGTGGGGTTGGCTGGTTTGAATCACCTCCCCAGGCTCTGGGGCCCCGGGGCTGTCCCTGGTTGTCCGGTACCTGGGCCCAGATGATAAGGGCAGGTGGCCCGGAGGGTGAGAGCCCGGTGAGAACCTGAGAAAGGATGTGGTTGGGAGAGGAGCTCTGCATCAGTTAGTTAGCCCCAGTGGTATGCTAGCTCTAGGAACTGGCGAGCCCTGGGAAGGGCACCCCTCCAGGGTCAGCAAGGCCCCCGACATCAGAAAAAAAATTTTAAAAAAAATGCTTAGTACAACAGTCTGTGGGGTCTCACACTCCCAACCTGCAGGCCATAGATGCGTGTGACAGGGCAGGTGTTTTAAATCTTTCCATGCAAATGCCTAGGACAGAGCGTGAGTGTCCGCACCAGGTGGCTGCAGGCCCCGTCACTCCCCATTGCCTGTGTCAGGCCATTCACACACGCTCTGTCCACTGCAGAGTTTGTGCCCTGAGCTCGCCTTCCTTTGTGCAGAGAGCACGGCCTGGGTGGCATTTTCCTCTGTGACCTCGCAGTCCTTAAGGACACCCCCGGATCCACTCTCTGACCTGGCTGCCTTTCCAGGAGGGGGCTGTGGTCCATGTCCTCTGCACGGTCCTCACTGCCCTGCCTTCTCACGGGCAGCTCTCCGTCCTAGGCATGGGGGGCACCTAACATACATGCAGAGCCCCCCTTCAAGTGCTTCTCTCTCGCTGCCTCTTACACCAAAGCTTAAAAAGTAGGGCAACTAGGGGCACCCGGGTGGCTCAGTTCGTTAAGTATCTGACTCTTGAACTCAGCTCAGGTCTTGATCTCAGGGTCATGAGTTTGGGCCCCACGTTGGGCTCCATGCTGGGTGTGGAGCCTCCTTTGGAAAAAAAAAAAAAAGTGGAGGGGGAGGGGAACAGCTACTTCCCCCATTTTAGAGAAGGGAAACAAGAACCAGTGACCTGAGTCAGACAGGAGCATGCCTGTGAGTGGGAGAGTCTGAGGCTGGAACCAAGCATTCTGGCCCCTGATCCCAGCTCCCTTTCAGGCCCTCCCTCTGCCTGGACAGAGGCTGAACGACCCCCTGCTAGATCCCAGGCCAAATACTGGACCCAGGAGTGACCAGCACCGACCCCCCACCCCGGGAGAGGGGCCACTGGGACGTGACTGGCTGGTTGTGCTCATCTCTTCAGTTTGCAAGCTCAGTCGTTTTATCTTTCCCCTAAATATCAGGACGTCAGGCTTTATGTTGACTCTGGGGAAATCACTGCTTCCAAAAACACGAGAATGGGTGCTCTGTTCTTGTGAGCATAAGCTTTTCCTTCCAGTCTCAGGTGACTTCTGGGAAGTGAAGAATTAGTTTGGCCAAGTTTCCCGTTGTGGTTTTGCTCACAAGGACACAGGCCCCTTCCTGTGTTACAGCGTCGAGGCCTGACGAATTGGTACCCACCGCCAGGTCCCGGCTCTGAATTTGGGAGCACGCTTTGTTTATGAGCTTTGTAAACTGCTAGGCAAGCACAGTCATGACTCATAGTGTCTCATTATTTACCTTCGTTCTGGCTGCAGATGTTCTAGAACGTGCATTTATTCAAGTGCTAAATGGTCTTATTGTACCATTAGCATCCAGGTTTTTTAAACTTGTGCTTCTTCCCAAGGTTGGTTGCATCCAAGGCAGTGGGCACTGAGGGAGGGCTGGCGCCGGGGTGAGGGGGGCAGAAAGCTCATGCTGGGGGCAGGATCACTGCCCAAGTGGCTCCCAGACCCTGGGCAGAGCAGGCTAGTTCTCCTTGGATTCCCACAGGCTCTCCGCGCTTTGTGAGTCCAAACTTGCCCAAGCAGAAACCTGGGGGGCCACTGTCTTGGTACTTCTGAGTGAGGGGCCTGTGGGTCGTGCCTTCCCTTGGTGCTTGGGGCGGGGGGCGTTCACGGTGCTGCATCCGTCTGGGGATAGGGGGACCTTGGCCAATTCCCACAATGCCCCCAGGTAGGGGCACCTGGCTGTAGCCTAAGAACCTCCCCTTTCCTGTACTTCTATGTCTGATTCATCAGCTGGTCCTCTAGATTCTCTCCAAAATCGAGCCCAAATATGCCTCCCCATGTCCACAGCCCGGCCCCAGCCAGGCCCAGCTGCCTCCCTCCTCGCCAGCCCCGAAGCCCGAGACAGCCTCCCGATGGCCCGTCCTCCGCCCTGCACTCCTGCTCCCCAACGACACCCAGCAGCTATCTTGTAAAAGCACAAACCTCCCTGTGCTGCTCCCCTGTGCAAGCCCCTGCCAGGCCTTCCTTGGTTGCAGAAGAAAAAAATCAGAGGCCAGGAGAGCCGAGCCCAGCCCCCCTCACCTTCTGCCCCTCCACGGCTCCCGGACCTACTTTCTGATCCGAGATGCTGCTTTCCACGGCTTCTCATGGGCTGTGCCCTCGTGACCTTGGTGTGGCTGGCTCCGTCCTTGGTGTGAGGCCACATGTTAGCTCCTGGGAGGGGCCTTTCCTGAGGACCCCACTAAGCTGTCCTCCACCTGTAGGCCCATTCCCAGCCCCTTCGGAGCCTGGCACATGACTATTTATCTGTTACAGGTTTGTGACCTCTCTCCCTAAGGAACAGGACCCCTGTGTTTCACTGTGTTCTGGGTCGTGAGCCCAGTGCCCGGCCCAGAGCAGCCACATAGCCCCAGGCCCTCCGTAAATGCTTCCTGAATGAGCGAATGAAATGCCAAATGGATCAGCATCTTGAATTTTGGT